AAACTTTTAATTAAAGTGGTTTAACACAGACAATTAGAAGAATTACAGATGTGCACATATTTTTGAAAAGATTCTTTCAATAAACATTTTCTGAAAACTGAGTGGAAAAACAATTTCTGGAAATGTCTGGTTCTTCTTTCGAATTTAACTATGTCTCATTTTCCCCACTCCATCAACAAACCGAAAATTATTTATTGAGCATTTACCAGTCCCGGAATTGTTGCGTGCCGTGGGGAATACCGAACAGCCGAGCGTGAGCCCAGCCCCGCAGGAAATCACAGCCCTTTGGAGGAGAGAGGCAGCAACACCTAAAATAAGTGAAACAAAGGCTCAAAGAAAACATACCAGTGAGGGCTGGAGTGGCCGGCAGTTTTACTGATCACGTGTTCATGTGAAGAGCGTATTGGATACAGATGATAGAAACCATGCTAAGAAACATGTAGAATCTATAATTTAGAAATCTGGGGCTTTTTATCTTGGGGAGTTAGGGCAGAGGGTGTTAAATATTATCCTGAGTGGACTGATACTACTAGAGTCTACAAAATTGTTATTTTCATCATGAGAACTCCTCTGGTCTTTGTTTCTTGTAAATAAAATTATAGTAAAGATTTTGGGAGGGTAGAGAACAATGTGTCTCTTCTCTTAATAATAACCTGGGCTTGTATATATTAATTCTAGTTGCATTTGAATATACCTTTATCTCTGCCTGTTGTATATGTGGCCCCCTCTGGAACTGTGGGCTCCAGGGGACCCTCCCCTTGGAATATCCAGCCATTGCCTTCGGAGATTCGTCAGTTAGTTCTGGGTATAGTCTCTAAAGACCAGCCTTTACACTTTTTATGACTATGCATTTTCCTCTAGAGTTGGCTTTCTAATGCTTTGCATTATGAGTTTAATAAAAAAAAAGTTTCCAACCAATATCATAAAATCTTAAAAGTATAATTTTTATTTTCCCACACTGAAAATGAGCATAGAACAAGCCAAATACAGTTTTATTGTTTTCAATTATTGTAATAAAATGACCACCACAGTAAAAACAGACACAGGTTTTAGTGTCTTTTTAATAATGCACAGCACAGAAAGAAACCATAAATAGGCAGAATTAGTCTCCTTAATGTAATATAAAATCTGATTATTAGATAACTAGACAACAAGAAACTAATCATTGATTATTCTCAATCATGGGAAGAATTTTACTTATCAATTTTTTTATATTTCTGTGTAAAGATATAACATCTTTAGATATTTATAAAAAACCTTTTTAATCTATATACATAATGCTGAAAGTAGTAGAATGTTCAAAATCTTACTACTCTGCAACCTGTGCCAAGAAGAATTCACTGCAAATATGACAAAGATATTGAGACCCAAAATTGTAGACTTTGGCTATTTTTCAACCAGAAAAATAGGTGCACATTAAAGACAAACTATGTATTTTTTAAAAAATAAACTTTTTCTTTAAAATTTAATTAGTTTTAAACTTAAAGAAAAGTCGCCAAGATAGTAGAGAGTTTCTGTCCACCGCGCACCCAGTCTCCCTGTTAGCATCTTACGTTCTCAGGTGCGTTTGTCACAACACTGAGGCATTGTCAACTGAAGGTCACACTGCATTCAGATTTCGTAGCTTTCTGGGTTCATGTCCTCTTTGCATCCCAGGTTCCCATCCAGCATCCACGTTACAATCAGTCACCTTGCCTCCGTCGGTCCCTCGAGATTATTTTATACCCGTTTTGCAGCCTTTCCTTGGTTTCGCAACCTCAACAATTTTGAGGAGGGCGGGTTGACTGTCTCTCAGCTGGCGTCTGCCTGATGTTTTTCTCATGATCGGACCAGGGTTCTAGGATTTTCAAGGAATGCCATAGCATGGTTACATCTTTTAAAGACTCTTATCAAAAGATTTTATGGGCTTAGCTGGGCAATTCTCAAGATGAATGACTTGCTAATAAAAATAAAAGTAGTAACAATAGTGCTATTAATAATAGCAAACAGATTGAACTTGGTATACAGCAGGCACTATGCTAAGCACTTTGCATTGATCTTCATGCATTGCATCTGCTAGGAGATAGGAACCATTGTTATCACGAGCTGGTAAACAGACACTCAACACAACTAGCAGAAAGTCACATGGATCAGTGGTCCCCAACCTTTTCAGCACTAGGGACCGCTTTTATGGAAGACAATTTTTCCATGGACCGGGGTGGTGGGGAGGAGGGTAAGGGTTTCAATAAGATTCGAGTGCATCGCATTTATTGTGCAGTCAAACCTCTCTGCTAACGATTATCTGTATTTGCAGCCGCTCCCCAGCGCTAGCATCACCGCCTCAGCTCCACCTCAGATCATCAGGCATTAGATTCTCATAAGGAACCGCAATCTAGACCCCTCCATGTGCAGTTTACAGTAGGCGTTGAGCTCCTGTGAGAATCGAATGCCTCCGCTGATCTGAGAGGAGGCGGGGCTCAGGCGCTGATGCGAACAACGGGAGCAACTGAATACAGATGAAGCTTCTCTTGCTCACCTGCCGCTCCTCTCCTGCTGTGTAGCCCAGGTCCTAACAGGCCACTGACCTGTACCTGTCCGTGGCTTGGGGGCTGGGGACCGCAGACTTAGATGATAATTGACTTGCTGAGACTTGATCTAAAATAGATTCTCTTTCTAGAGTCTGTGTTTATACTCACTTTGCCATCCTGCATCCAGGAGGAGGAGCTCATTGCTGTGGTGACGTGTATCCCGGCTTCACAGGATCTGGAATGTCACAACCGGGTGACAGCGGGCAAAGGAAAACGTGGCAGATGCAATTCCTGATGTGGCTTAGCTGTGGACCACACTTTTAAAAGCATCTCCTTTCTGTCGTAGTCGAGCAGAGCACATTTGTGCGAAAAGCAAATACAGTGTTTCATGCACGCAGCAGAACGTCCCAGCACACCGTAATTAAGCTGATTACACACGATTTCAGCGCGCACGGGCTGCTGTACTAGCGATCCGCTGTTTCCTGGGGCCCGATTACGCCGTGTCCAGACGGTTTTCAGTAACGCCGGAAACATGCCGTGTCCACACGGCGGGAGAATGCTCTGACGCCGTCTCTGCGGGACGGGCCTGGTGGATTGACTTTCATGTGCTGAAATCTTGTTTTCCACAGATGATGAAAGGAAATCCGTTATTTTACAGATTTCTGAGTCAGAGCTCCAGAAGAAATGAAAAGTAATCCGAGAGCAATTGCAGTGCGGACACGTGGACAGGAGGCTGTTGCTTTCACACACTTTCCTCTCAGCCAGAAGGCGGAAGCGGGCTCTGACCACATTGCTTTTTATAAGAATAAACACAGAAGCTGCGTGAATATCTTACTTAGGCTATAAAAGGTTTGGTTTGATACTATGAAAGGAAAAAAGCTTTAGATCTCTAAAATGTAAATGTTTTCAACTCTTTTGAAGAAATATTTCCCGAACAGCTACAGCAAAGTGGCTTCTGCAGCACTTAATTAATTGCAATCCTGTGACAATCCCGGGTAGAACTTAAAGGCACATCCTATCTATGGAACATCATAAAATATACCAATTTTGTGATAACTTAAAAAGGTCTAAACGAACTCTTGATGGAGACAGAGACTGTAGCCACCTAGTATATTTCACATGTCAAACAGAAATTTTACAACTCCGTGTAGAATGAATTTGGTAAGACGAGCATCTCAACGAGAGAGAACACCGTGGTTTGCCGTTTGTTTATGGCTGAATGGTACTCCGTGGTGTACATACGCCACATTCATTAATCCCCTTGCGTATTCATGGGCACTTGGGTTGATTCCACATCTTTGTGATTGCAAATCGGCAACAGATCTTTTAAATCTGTGGTGGGGTGAGGCCAGGTCTCATCCAAAAGCCCTGCAGGGCCTTCCTCCCTCCGCGGCTGAGCAGACAGGAAGCCCAGCAGGAGGCCTCCCCTCCTCTCCAAGCCACGGCTGCCGTGCATCTCCTGTGGCCCTGGGCTCGGTGGGCTGGTGTCTGTTTCTCCATGTTCCCCTGGGCACTTACACAGTCTCCTCCTCCATCCATCTGTCTGTCCCCCTCCGCACCCCTTTATGTTGCTTCAGTTACCCATCATCATTTGAATCACATTCATTTTTGATTTTTTTAAAATTTTCTTCCATAGAATTTAAGGCTCATGAGTGCAAGAACTTTGCCTTGGTCACCCACTGGACCCTTGACCTCAGAGAGTAGCTCTCAAAAAATACTTTTTGAATGAATAAATAACATAGTTGATGCATTGTGTGTAGTTAACATTTGAGACAGAGCAAAGTTTAGAATACAGTTTTGGTGTTGTGTGCAAATTTTACTACAATCATGTTTTAATGAAAAGAGGTTTGATGCTGCATATTTTCTTTTCATCTATAGAACAAACTATGATTTATTTTTTTTTGTAAATGAGTTTTAACATTCATGTAAGGGAAATAGTATTCAAAGAGATTATATTGATTTACATATTCAGTAAGGAATGAAGAATCTTATTTGTATTATTTATAGTAAAAAGCACATAGATTAGAACAAAACTGGTGTTTACATTTTAGTAGTAGGAATTGCAGATAAAAGGCCAGAAGTGCCAAAAAGATGCATCTATTAATTGCAACATTTGTGTTGTAAGTGTATTTGTATAGCCGTGTGTATCTCTTAAAAGACATAAATTAAATTTCTTTCTCTAGAGTTGAAATTGTAGTTTTTTTCCTGCTTTTGTAATTAAACGTTAGATGAAAGGGGTATCCTTTTGGAACTATGTGCAAACACAGTGTTTAGAGCAGCCGGAAGAAACCACTTGTTCATTTTCTAAATCGTGGCCTTAAGAATATCCGTGGTGTATTTTTTTTAATGATTCATTGTTTTTACGATTTTCAGAAATTGAAAAGGGAGGATGTGGGGATCCGGGCATCCCCGCCTACGGGAAGCGGACGGGCAGCAGTTTTCTCCACGGGGACACGCTCACCTTTGAATGCCAGGCGGCCTTCGAGTTGGTGGGGGAGAGAGTCATCACCTGCCAGCAGAACAATCAGTGGTCTGGCAACAAGCCCAGCTGCGTTTGTGAGTATCGTGCCTCGACTGGCCCTTCCTGCCCTGCACCCGCCTCGCACAGGGAAAGAGAGAAAGACACGGAGCGTCTGTGCGGGGAGGGCGGCGCTGGGAGTAGCCCAGCAGGGCTGCTTTTACCAGGAGCGCGCAGGGGCACCGTGACACACCGACGGTCCTGCTTTCTTCACCTAATTAAAATTAATTCACAATTGTATCACGCCTGCCAGATAAAATGTAGCTGCATATTTTCAACTAGAAAGGTCATAACGTGTACCTTTATTTCCATCAGAAGCTCATGATGGTACGTACAGGATCGGACGTCAGCACAGCACTGGCGTGTTTTTAGGACTTAATGATGCATGACACTTAAACACGAGTCTCCTGCCAGTACGAGCAGGGGCGGTGGGATCGGTTTGGAATTCAGCGGAAGAGCTTCCTGCTTCCTTATAAGTATAGTATTTTACAAGTAGAACAGACTTCATAGCTGATTTTAAAGGGGGTATTCCATATTTGTAAATAAACATAGCCACGGCTGGAAAATGTATATGAAATTGTGTGGAATAATAATCAAAACCACACCCTATAGATAAATCCGACAGTTGCTCCCTCCAAAAAAGAATATATATGTGTGTATATATATATAGTGCATGATTTTTAAGTACGCATCCTTAAAATTAAATTTTCCAAGAGCGTTTTATATTACCCCCGTAGAACATGGCCTGATTTTTCCAGATTTATTTATTTATTAATCTTTACCCTGTAACTAATAGAAACTTTAAATAACTTGAAAAATGCACTTAAAGGAAAATATAAAATGTAAATTAAAAAGTTATCACGCAAGAGCAGACTGAATTGTTCCCAGGACACGGACATATACCTTTTCATATTAATATTTCCTCTTCCGAAGGCAGAAAGTTGTAGCTAGAAATTATAATATTTGGCACTCGTTCTCAGTGAACTTGAAAGGATCATTCAGAACCAAGCCTGTGCTTGATTGTGTGGAGGTTCTGGTTGTGCTCTATGAGATAATGAAATAGTCTACTTACACTTGGGGGAAAGAAAAAAACGTTATGGTCCAGAATTATTAATGTCAACCTAGTTGGATCATCCTAGTTATTTACAGGTATGTGTTGCCTTTCCAAGTTCTTAGCAACTAGTTTTGGGTGGCAGTTCTTTGGATATGTGCTAAACTGTTTGAAAATATCGTGTCTTCACAGTTTCATGTTTCTTCAACTTCACGGCTGCATCCGGGATTATCCTGTCACCCAATTACCCTGAGGAATACGGTAACAACATGAACTGCGTGTGGTTGATCATATCCGAGCCAGGAAGTAGAATCCACCTCATCTTTAACGACTTTGATGTGGAGCCTCAGTTTGACTTTCTTGCAGTCAAAGACGATGGGATTTCGGATATAACAGTCCTTGGGACCTTTTCTGGCAATGAAGTGCCTTCCCAGCTAGCGAGCAGCGGGCACGTGGTGCGCCTGGAATTTCAGTCCGACCACTCCACCACCGGCAGAGGGTTCAACATCACTTACACCAGTAAGTGTGCCTACAGGAGCACCACGCCGAGGTTACCAGCTGATGCTGCAGATGTTTTATAATCATTATTAAAATGAGAATGGCAAAATTATACAGCATTATCCTGATAGCCAAAAAAAATCACTGTATTTAGATTACTATCTTGGTCACTTGTATAGTAAGGGGCTGGATGTCTCACTTCTCTCTCTCTCTCTGGTTTTCTATCCATCTGTCCATCTAGCCAACGATCTATCTGTCCATCCATCTTTCCTTCTATCCTTCCATCCATCCTTCCTTCCATCCCTCCATCCATCCAACAATCCATCCCTCCATCTATCCTTCCTTCCATCCTTCCATCCATCCAACAATCCATCCTTCCATCCATCTTTCCATCCATCCAACAATCCATCCCTCAATCCATCCTCCCTTCCATCCCTCCATCCATCCAACAATCCATCCCTCCATCCATCCTTCCTTCCATCCAACAATCCATCCCTCCATTTATCCTTCCTTCCATCCATCCATCCAACAATCCATCCCTCCATCTATCCGTCACCCACCCACCTGCTCATGTGTCCTCCATGTGACAAACAGTGTAGTATGGAGGACTGAGTCATTTGAGGTGAGGAGTCTGAAATTAGAACACCAGCTCATGTGTGTAGTTCGTGAATTCTGGTGACAGCTAGCCACTTCTTGCTTCAGGTTTGTCATTTGCAAAACAGATTTTATGTAAGATCATTTACCTAAACGCATGGTAGAGGGAATAAAGTAAGATAATAGGGTTAATATGAATGTCATTTGCTGACTGCTTTCTTCTCTTAGGACCTGTTCCTAGAATTTGACAGTAATTATTTCATTTAGTGTCACAGAATTTTGGGGTATAGACTTATTCCTCACTGTGTAAATAAAGATAGCTAGGCTCAGGTCATTGGAGGTATCTGCCCAGTGTCAGATAATAAGTGGAAAAGTCAAGATTCTAACCCAGGTATATCCTGAACCCAAACACTTTCCACCTCCTCCTCTATCCCTTTTCTCCTTCTCCAAGTGCATAGGAGTGACAGTTATATCTAAAGTGCTATATAAATGATAATCATGTCTGTTTACTCATGTGCTCTCTGTCTGTTTCTCAGTAGATACCAATATCCTATTTATTTAATGTATTTGTCTACAAATGATACAACTGAAATTTGAGACAATAATCGCTTTATAAGTGTGTCCTGTTTTCTTCTTTTTTAATACATATAATTAGATATTCAAGTATTTTTATTCTAACTATTATTTTTTTTTCTTTTCAGCATTTGGTCAAAATGAGTGCCACGATCCTGGCATCCCTATAAATGGACGGCGTTTTGGTGACAGGTTTCTATTAGGGAGCTCGGTTTCTTTCCACTGTGACGATGGCTTTGTCAAGACCCAGGGGTCCGAGTCTATCACCTGCATCCTCCAGGATGGGAACGTGGTCTGGAGCTCCACGGTGCCCCGCTGCGAAGGTACAGTCCCTGCGTGGGCCGGGTGTTCTCTGATGTCACGCACCGGTCGGTCTCCAGACAGCGTCAGGTTGCTGGGGCCGCCCCAGCGAAGCGCCACACACAGCACCGTAAACAGCAGAAATGCACAGTCTCAGCTCTGGGGACTGGAATTTGAGATCGAGTGTTGCGGGGTGGGCTCCTTCTCAGGGCTCTGAGGGAGGCTCTGTCCCAGACCTGTCCTCTAGCTGTGGCATTTGCTGGCGCTCTTTGGCATCTGTGGTTTGCAGAAGAATCACCCTAATCTCTGCCTTTGTATTATTCTCATGCCGTTCTCCCTGCGTGTGTCTGCCTCTGTGTCTAAATCCCCCCTTCCTATGAGGACGCAATCTCGTTGGTGTAGGGACCTCCATTCCAGTGAGACCTTATCCTAACTGACCACATCTGTGATGACCCTATTTTCAAATAGTCACAGTCTGGGGTGCTGAGAATCAGGAACATTGAGGGGAGGGGCACACAATTCAACCCACAGCAATGCGGTTTAGTTAACTGTTGTCCTGTTCTTTTTGTAGCTGACATAAATACTAACTAATTTTCTTCTTGATATTTCTGTTCTGGTGACGAATCTAATGAAACCAGAGGGAAAAAAATTAAGGAGAAATAATTTGCCTGTAATTATTACTCATTTTGAAAATGCTTAATTAGAGTATATACTCACATTTCTTGTCAGAGTAGTTCAGATGCAATGATCTAAGAAAATCTTTTTTTTTTTAAACTTACCTCTAATAAATATCAAAGAAATACAAATTTAAAAACAAAAGTAAAATACCATTTTGTGTATCTGATTGTCAAGGATTTCAACATGTTGATAAGATATATTATTGACAAGGTTATGGAAAAACTGGTATTTCGCAGTCATGCTATTGAGGATTTAAAATCACAGCATTAAGGTGAAAACTTATAATAAGAGTGAGAAATGTTTTTGCCTTCCGAGCCATCAATTATATTTCTGGATCAATACCATAAGGAAATACTCAAGCACCTATGAAAAGATGTTCGTTCAAGAACAACTTTTGCAGGACTGTTTATAACAATGAAGAGCTGCAAACATCTAAACTTCAAACGGCATAGAATTTTGTAGATAAGTAGTGATTTATTTATGCACAAGATCACATGCATCGTTAACAAAGATTGCAGGAGCACAGAGACCCATAAATTGTTATTATATAAAATACCAGATGATACCAACACATGTGTAGCAACATACCATTTTTGAAAACATGTAAATATATACATATCTCATGATAATAATTTAAAATGGAAAGAAAGCTACACACCAAAATGCTAATCATAGTTATGTGTATTTTGTCCCCCCCTGGTTTATTTTTGTTTTCCTAGTGGTCTTCGGTCAACATGAATTCATTTGTAATAAATAAATAGAAAAGAAGTATATGTCAAATGTAACCTACAGTTGAGGATCACTGTCCTGTCTAGAAGGACGTGATGTAACGTCACCAAGCCCGCGATCTCTAGGTGGTCTAAGCAGAGCCTGAATCCACACGTGGTGGGATTGGAATTACACTCCTCAGTGACAACCAGCATCCTGGCGGGGGCGTTATGTCCCCCCTCCCGGCCCCGCCCCCGGCCCCACCTGTTCATTTCCTCGCCATGGTGGGAGGAGAAGTTTCCAATCAGGTCCTGTTCGTTGTCTGTCTGGTGAGGCTCAAAAAGGTGTTCCAGTTTTCGCATTTTCATAAATGGTTAAAACGATTTGGTGGATGTGAGCTGCACCCTTGGGGGCAAAATCGATCCACTGAAGGGCAAGAAAACAGTGGTAGATTTTTTATTTTTATCTATTTTCATCAAATATCTTAAATGTACATTTTTATGTTTTACATTTTATGAGATGTTAATAAATGGATGGGTTTTTATCCTTTACAAATAAGTAAACAGACACACATGGGGTGCTCAGATGCCCAACACTAATTAATCACAGTGCATAGTCGTGTTTGCAAACACTGCTCTGGCCAGGCGTGAGGCGGTCGACTTGGAAGCATGAATAATAGCGGAAGGAAGTTTAAAGTGAGCGCTTTACTTTATTTAGCCTCTTTGACTTCCGGCCGCAAGTCTAGCTGCCCCGTGCTCTTTACCACGCTGGGCTGCTGCAGATGTCACGAGCTGCAGGGCGAGTGTCCCCTCAGCACAGGGCACTGACGTGGCAGGTGAGGAGCCTACAGTCAGACCAAGGGGGCGGTAGCACGTACAATGTGAGCAGGCGATGCTTCCCCGGTTAGGAAGAGCCCCTCTGGGGATATTAAAGCAAAACCCAGCCGTAGGTCGTTAGCAAAGAAAACCCTCAACAGAAAGGAACAGTTTGTGGGGAAAGATTCTGAAGGTTTACCTGTGCTGAGAAGCCCAACCGCTGGGTGCGGATGAGTCTCAGAGAAGGTGGGTCCTGGGATAGCGTGTCCGGCTAGATCCCCTGGCCAGTGCCCTGCCGGATAAACGAAAAATAAACTGACTGTCAGAAACAAACAGATCTAGTAGGAAAAAAATCACATGGCAGTGAAAAAGTGGGCAATACAAACCACAAAACCTGATTGGAGGGATGCACGGACAACCTCACCTTCCTTATAGAATGCTCATTTTGTTGTTTTTCTCAAAGATGTTTGTTAAAAATTGATTACATAATTAACCATAAAGTGAACCTTAACAAATTAAAATAAGTATAGGCCACACGTTCTGTAATAGTCCCATTAAAGTATAAGTGTATAATAAAAACAGAACCACAAGCAAATCTCTATAAATCAAAAAGTGCACTGTAATTGTATATTAAAGAGAAACCCAAGCCTTAAGTCCTACAGTATTTGTAAACCATGAGAAAGAGAACACTTCCTACTAAAAAATGATGTGATACAGCCAAATTGGTGCTATTAGGAAAACACCTATCGTAAAGGCCTCCAGTGTAGAACAAAAAAATATCAAAAATAAAGGAATTTAATACTAAGATTGAAAAGTTAGAAAAAATGAAAATAAATTAGGATACGATATTAATAAAAATCAAATGTTAGAAACAATTGAAAGCAAGAGTGAGTTCTTTGTTAACACCAGTAAAATAAACAACCTCTGTATGATTCTGATAACAGAAACTAAGAACTGAGAGAGAAGAAAGTTACAGATAT